GGTGATTTGATTGCAGGTTTTGACTTGATAAGATGCTTTTTTAAGACCAAAGCAAAAATCACATACTGAACCATCACTACACCAATCTTCCAACTCTAAAAGTGTATAAATTAGATCTTTCATATATTAGCAACTACCAATCTTTACCTCAATTTTAGCAATAAGTTTTTGTTCTAGTTCTTGCTTTTCAGATTTAACTTTTTCTACTAAGTGTTGGAATTTAGTTTTTACTTTTCTCTTAAAGGTTTTGAACTTGTTTGGTAATTTAGGTAAAGGTTTATCTAGGTAAATTTTCAAACTGTTTTGTTTTTCTTCTACTAGTCTTTCATTAAGATTTTTCAAAGTTTGTTTATCCTCCTCTGATTGCTCTACCAACTTCATATTTTTTACCTTTTCTTCAGCAAGTCTTCTAACAAAATCAAGCAATGTGGTTTTGTTGTTATCGAGTTCTTCTACCAAGCTCTCTATTTTGTTGGCATGCTTTTCATTGCATCAATCCTCACAAACTCCCACAGCATCTAAATGGCAAATGGCACTTACTTTTTCAAATTCAAGTCCTTTTTCTAATTTTTGATTGGTTTTTTCTAGAATAGTATTTTTTTCTTTTAGTTCTTTATTTTCTTGGTAGGTAAAACTAATAGCTTCTTCATACTTTTGGGCTTCCTTACCAAAACTTTTAACAATGTTTTCAGGAGTGAATTTATCACTGAAAACAACTCTTCCAATTTCAATTCAATTCTTTTCTGGATAACTTACTCAACCATTTTCAGGTCAAGTAAATCTTTCTAAGGTTTTCAAAGTTACACCAGTATATTTCAGTAAGACCATGAACTGCATTTCAAATTTTTAGTTTAAAATTCTCTTCCTTATTAGTTAATTGCTTTTCTAAATCGGCAATTTTGTCTGATAGTTCTTTGTTTCTTTCTTGGAAATTTGTTATTATGTTTGTCATGATTTTCTTCTTTTAAATATACTTATATCCTTAGGGTATGTTAAGTATATAATTATTTTAGGACTTTTTTGCTTTAAAAGTGGAAAAAGCTAACAATATTTGTCAAAAGATTAAAACTTATTAAATACAGTCTCTGGTGGTGGGATTATTATACAAAATTTATCATAATAATATTTTATTTTATTTAACCAAAATATATAAATAATAGTAGTGAATAACTTGTTAAGAGATTATTATTAAAAAATCAAAATTCATAAAGTTTTAATATACAGAGGGTGATCATGGGTTTCCGAATGATAAGTATTTTTTATTTTTTTTTGCTTTGTTTACATCATTTACGCGTATATTTCTAATTTAAGCATTTATTTAGCATGTAGATCATAACAAT